ACGATAAGTGAAATGTCAAGAATTGATATTCTACAAATAAATTCATTGAAAGCAATAATAAATAAATTAGAAAAAGTTAATGAATGTAAAAAAGATAAAATATATTATAAATTACCTGCTTTGAATTTATGCAGTTATTCTTTATTTTGAATTAATAATATTAAAACATAATTAATATTATTAATTGCTATCATAATCTGTCATTTCACTTTCGGGTAATTTCGTTGAGGCATTGCTACATCTATCATCTATTAAATCTTCTTCATCAACAAACATATTTTGAAATCGTAATAATTCCTCGTTTGTTGCCCTTCTTTTCAATACCTTATAAAGTTTATGTATCCAAGAATTAGTATGAAAATTATAATTACCTCTACGATAAAATCCACCACATCTACATTGTTTTATAACCATATTCTTATATTATATTAAATTAGAATATCTTTATTTATAATTTGTAATTTGAAATGCCTGTTCAAAATTGATATGAAACATGTTGTTAATGTCTTTTGAATTCATATTCACGTAGAAAAAAGAATATGGAGCAAAATTAACGGCTTGACGATACATATCTAATAATTGCTGTTTATCAACAATGGCGCTATTTTCTTCAATAAAACTCATTAATTCACTGGCATTTTTCAACCTAAAAATATATAATGAACTGGCATTCAAACGAATGATAGGCGCTAAAACATTGTATTTTTGTGTTGAACAAATCACACTTACTGCATCGTGCCTGCCTCTTGTAAATAATCCATGTAATAATTTACTATATCTAACAAATTTAGGGTCGTCTGCGTGGTCATCTATAACGATTAATATTGAATGTAGTTTCTTTATCTTTTTAGATTTCATATAATTAATTATTTTCTTCTGTCTTTCAATTACATTTTCTAAATCACTTGGATTATAATTATCAAAATAAATTTGTTCTTTTTCATCATCCACGTGCAATTCATCCCTGATATATTTTTTAACTTCTGTAAATGTAGGGTCGTTATGGACGCTGGGGGAAAATATAAATATTCTTGCAAATGAATTTCTATAAACATTCAATATTAAATTTTGAATAAGGACAGTCTTACCGCCTGTCGAAGAAGCAACTATAATACTTCTAAATGGTAATTTTGGCACGTGCTCATATTTGGATTGCTTGAATTCATATTCAGTTATGTTTATTGGTTTTATTATTGGAACATCTGTCATATAGTTAATATTAAAGATATTTAGAAAATAAATTAATATTATTTATTGTATGAAAGCATTGCTATGATATGAATGGTGACTATCGTAGTAGAACAGGCTCTTTCATCAACTTCAATCAATAAGCATTGAAGCTAATTAGTTTGATGCTTGTAAAGAAAACCCCAAGTGCTGTGCCCTCCGAATATTCTATCATGCATGAAAATAATAAGATTAAATAAATATTTTATCTTATTATTTATATGACTATTATCCATTGCAGTTGTGGTAAAACTTATGATGACAAATATTTATTTAAACATCTAAATTCAAAATATCATCAGAAAATTGTAGAATATAGATGGAATAAAGACGATACAATGAAAAAACTTTACAAGAAAAGAAAGACAGAAATGAAAAAATAATTTATCTTATTATTTAATATGAAAAGGAGTTATACAGATTATATTAATATAATAAATGAAATGGAGAATATAGAACGGGTTGTCATAACTGATAATAGATGTAAAAAAATATGTTATTTTATTTTAGAATTAGTTAAGTTTTTGATACAATATATTAAAAATATAAATATTAATATAAATGGGAAAAAAGAAAAAGAGTAAAAGCAAAGAAAGACCAATACCAGATATTGAAGCACGGAAAGAAACAGCAGAAAGTGTTAAATCACTAGGCGAAAGTAAGACTATAAAATGTGATAAATGTAATCACATAATGAATTTTAAAAATGAATTGACAGTAGATAAGAAAGGTGGAGTTAAAGTTAGTTGTGTCCCATGTATGTTTTCTTATAAAAAAACAGATAAAGATTTTAATATTCAGAAAAGAACAGATGGCGATATGGTTATTGAAACTAACGAACATTTGATTAATGTTAGTTTTAACAGGGACATAAGTTAGTATTTAAAGAGTAGATTTAACATAATTGCACTTTATAAATATATAATTAAATAAATAATTATCTAAATAAATATATAGTAATGTCTGAAAATGAGAATTATACTATTAATGATTTAATGAAGAAGATAACATTAATTGGTAAAAATATCAAAAACTTAAATGATATGATTAAATCATTGATGACAAAATGAAACCAGTTGAACGCGAACAACAAAGCAACGAAGAAAGGAAAAAATCGAAAAGATATTTCAAGCAAAATCTATAGGAAGACCCAGTGGCGATTACCCTACAAAGCAAAAGAAATACTGTGATATGTTGAATACAGGAAAAATCAAACAACCAAAGCAACAAACATTAGAGTTTTATAAAATTACAAAACATGATGATGGAGTGTATGTATTATTTGAATAATTAATATCTAAGTAATTCTAATAAATGAATTTATTAGAATTATTTTCAGGCAGTGGTTCTGTTGGTAAAGTTGCTCGTGATTTAGGTTTTAATGTTATTTCATTAGACTTGAAAAATGCTGATATCAACAACAGTGTCACCATGTAATCCCTTGTCCCGCGGAATTTAAGATGACATGATGTCACCATGTAATCCCTTGTCCCGCGGAATTTAAGATGACATGATGTCACATTAAAACCCTTCAACTGGCAAAACCCTAATCCCCACCTAAATTAAGGATTTTTAGGCATATTTCTAGAGGGCATGGAATTTCAGATGACATGATGTCATGATGTCACTACAAATTCCTTGGGGTGACTTCATGTCATTTGAAAATCCTTGGGGGACAAAAACCCTAAAACCATACTATAATAATAACATGTAAAATATTATATGTTATAATTATATTTCAATATTTAATTTTATTTCTTGTAAAAAAGTATTTAAAGAAATAAAAACTATATATATTATAATAGAAATGATGGAAACCGAAATCAATAATTATATCAATAAGAAATGCTACGATTGTTGCCACTTTAAAAAAGAAAATATGGAATTATATAAATTGAATTTACCTAATGGAATAGTTAATAATATTATTGATTATTCTTTGGACGAAGAAAATATATGTAGAACTTGTAGAAGATGGAGACGATATCAAAATATAATAGAAAATTGTTTGGCGTTTAAAAATATAGATGAAAGAAATGTTGAAGATGAAATATTGATATTTTTAACTGTGTATGAAAGACCACCTTACGATTATGTTAAACAGTTTCTTAAAATCAGTAAGAAAAAGTGTGAAATGATTAATGACATATTATGGATGTTGATTTATTATAGTAAACCCGGCGTTGATGTAAAAAAAGTCATAAAATCATATATTGAAAGTGAACAGTTTAATGTTAAAAATACAGTGAGAGATATTAATCGTATTTTTAAAATGATGTATGAAAGAGGTAAGATATATCAATTAAATTATTATCCTGAACTTAAATTATAATCATAATATAATAATAACATGTAAAATATTATATGTTATTATTATATTTCAATATGTAATTTTATTTCTTGTAAAAAAGTATTTAAAGAAATCAACACTATATATTTTACAGTGGAAATGTTATTTAATTATTCAAAGTGCGAATGTTGTACAACTAAAAGGAATGATGTTAATATAACATTGTATAAGTTATTACCCGCCAATCTATGTAATAAAATAAGTGAATATGATGTATATTGTAATCAATGCTGTATAACAAGAGACCTTGAACAGTTTTTTGTTGAGAAATATAAGGATAAGGGATATACAAAGTTTCAATTACAATTGAAATTCTTTATGAAATATCACAAAAGATTTCCTGTATATTTTTGTCATAGAATTGCAAGAAAGTCATTTGAAAAAGAAATTGATGAGTTCTTCAATAATAAAGATTTGATTAAAAGGTTTGGAGGGACAAGCGCAATTAAACCATATAAAGCATTTGTTAAAAAATTCGAGGCATGTTTGATGCGATTGATTGGCATTTATTAAGTAAAGATAAAATAAACGAGGTCTTGAATGAATTTAGAATAACTAAATATCATGTATGGTCTTACTACAACACTAAATATCAAGTATGGCTACTAGTTAATTTGTTTTTCTGGGAATATATTTATTCAATAATAGGAAAAGACAATATCAAATATATAGACATTGGCGATATTGATAAATATGTAGATTACATATTTGAAGACATTTTTCCTGACTATAAATGTAACCCATAATTATTAATCATACTATAATAATAACATTTATACCCTTATATGTTATAATTATAATGTAAGTATAGCGTTTTATATATTGAAGATAAAATCCTACAAGGAGGACCACGCCCAAACAAATATATGATGAAACTGATGAAACGAAGGAGGGAGTGATGTTGTTGCTGTTCTATTTTTTGTCCGGGAAATGGACAAATCGTTTTTAGACAGTTCGAATATTTTTTTGATGACAAATATTTTTTGCAATATATTTTGCAAAATTTCTTTTTTTGAAATGGATGAGGTGAGGAGATTGAGGAAATGACATTTTGGAGGGTAGTTGGTGAAATGAATGAGGCGAGGAGGAAGGAGAAAAGGATGGCGAAAATTTTGGAAAATGATGATAAAAAACGGATGAGATGGACAGAAAGGAATGTAGAAAAATGATGAAAACGAATAAGGGTAGAAGATGGAAGATGAAAAAAAATGTAGGGTGGGGGGTATGTATGAAGCAATTTATTTGCGGGGCAAGGCCCCCGACTACTTATATTGGCACATATGTAGAACGACAACACAAATGCAAGAGAAACAGAAACCAAAGAAGCTACTTAGCCCTGCCATCCTGTCGTACCTCGGAACTCTCCAGAATACGGCGCAAGCGGCGCGCGTGTTGTTGTTTTTTTGTTTTTCAGGTGGCGACGATGCTGCTGGGAGAGGATAAATGTTTTCACGAGCGCCTCAAGGACTTAGAGCCGGAGAAGAGCTACGCCCCGCAGCAGAAATCCGAAGATGGTCGCAGGTTTGGGGGTTTTGGGGGGTGGGTGGAGTATTGGCCATTGGTGTAGTGCGGGTTTAGTAACGGTTTCGTATTTGTTCGTGCTGGTTGTGTGTGGTTGTGTGTGGTTGTGTGTGTTTTTTTTGGGGCGGGAAGTATGAGTGAGCCCAGGGCAAGCCTCGAAATTAAAAAAAATGGACACCCCGATATGAAAAGAATACTGTTGGAGCTTTTGCAGACAGAGCTGCAGTTTTGCAGCCCTGAATCCAGGTGGGGAGAAACACGTTGGTCCTTTTTGGTCCCTCTCCTATTCTTTGCCTCCCTTTCCGCACCCAAAACTCGTTCAAAACAGACACAAGTGAGAGTGAGGAATTAGAACGGAAGTGAGTGACCATGTTTGCAGATTTGCGTAAGTCGAGTAGTGGCTTAGTGTTGGTCTAGCATAGGTTTAGTAGTTCGTATTGTTTCGAAAGGCCCTAGTGCGGCGGTATTTTGGGTAAGAGAGAAACTCGCGAGTTCGTTCTTTGTCTAGAATTGCTGCGGGTGGGAAACCCCAACACTGGCCTTGGCATTCCTGTTGATCTTCCTTCAAAACCACCAACAAAGGGGTGCAGCTCAAAAAAAAAAAGGTGGGAGACGCAGTCTCAACCAGGGCTGCACCTGGGAAGAAGGAACCCGGTTTGGTGTGATTTAAATGGAAAGTAGCGGGAAACCAAGCAAAACTCGTAGCCATGAACCTTGTTTTAGAGGGAACTCCTCCAAAATTGGTTGGTGGACAGAAGTCCGCATGTTGGGAAACCCTCAAACATGGTCGGCAATGTGTTTTTCCCATGGTCAACGTTCAGCCCGCATGGGTGTTCAAAAAAGAACGTGGCGGAATCCAACTTGTTCAAAGCCGAGCTGGTCTTCCGCGAAACCACACGCCGGAACGCGTTCCGGGTCCCGTTTTCGGGTTTCGGTCCCTCAGAAAGGCGCCCAGCTGTGCTTCGCAGCTGGCAATGGCCGGAAAAGGGAAACCGCCCAAAGAAGCGGCGGGTTCCTTCTTCAAACCAAACCCAGGAATGATGTTCCAAATGAATGGGGTTCAACCAGATGTGCTGCGAGCAAGTCAGTCATGTGTTCCATGGTCCTGTCACTTCCTGGTTTCTTGCTGGATTACTTGAAGGGGACCCTTCAAGCAATCCATCAAGAAATCAAGAAATGCGCAGGTAAGCACCCTGGCAGCTTTGTAGCAAGGTTCATCACAAGCCCCTTCTTAAACATGTAGGATCAATTGCTTAAACCACCTCCTTTTGGGTGGCGGTTTGCCGCTCCCTTTCGTTGAAAACCAAGATGAAAGCCAATTGAGGACCTCTGCAGACATTTCAGGGGCCTTCTCTAAAGAGACCTTCTAAAAAAACGGGACCGCCGGTTGATCTCTCCCTCCAGGACTGTCTCTCCCCCCCTTCGCGCGTCTTTTTTGTTGGCTCGCCGGCCGCCCCCGCTCCGCCCGCTCCGCCTGGCGCTGAGGTGGTGGAGATCTGCGCCCAGAGCGCCGCGGGCTGTGGGGCCTGGAGCCGCGTGAGCTCGGCGCCCATCCGCACGGCCATCGTGGCGCGGGAGCCCAACGCCCCGGAGCTGGTCTACGCCACCTCCCGCGCCCTCACCTTCGCCTTTGCCGGGGGGGAGGAGAGAAACGATGGGATTGGGGGATTGGTGGCGCGAAATGGGTGGGTGGTGAGTTTGCAGAACTGGATGTTGCTTGGAGAATCGAGTCCCGACCAAAAAACGAAGTAAAGGGAGGAAGAGAGAGAGAGTGATGGTTGGGGGTTGGGGTTGGGAACAATTTGTTCTTGTTTGGTTTCAAAGGGAAGGGGTTCAAGTCTCCAAACCGCATTCGAAGCCACCAAGAAAGCGCAGCCGATGGAAGCATCCCATGGGCTGTCAGCAGAGCTGCCGTGGGCAAATCCCATGCGGCGAGCCAGGACGATCGGATCAACGCGTATGAAGTCAGGCGTCAAACAGGCGCAAATGCCGGGCTGCCTCCGTCGTGCTGAGTTGTTTTTGGAATTTGCAGACCCCCAGCCCAAACTGCCCTGGCTTGAATCGGACAATTCTCTACGAGGCGGCAAAGGACATTCCAAACCTTTCAAGGGGAGTTTAGATCGTGCAGCGCGGATGCCATCCAATATATATATATATATATATAGTGAAGTCATAATTGGTTGAAAGTCACGTCTTAAGATGAATATGTCCACTCACAAATGAAATCACAATTTCATCAGCCACCCCAACATGTAGTCGCCGGATATCACTGGTGTATGGGGATGTGATGAGCAGTGTTCAAAGCACCGATAAACGAAGTTAGTAAAGCTGTTGCCCTGCAAGTTGCTGCGAGAGAGGAAAACACAGCGCGTGAAAGGGAAGCAAGGAATCATGTTCGCGAAAGGAGCCGCGAAAGGCCGATTTTGAACACTGGGTTGCTTGCTGAACTGTCAGCGAAAGCTCCGCGAAATGGCTTCTTGGCCCAATGTGCTCTGCGAAAGGAAACCTGTGGAGTGCGCAAGATTCGCGAAAGGCCGCGAAACGGTTTGCGAAGGCAGACATGGAATATAACAAAGTGGAACCCAGGTTTTGACCACCGCTCATGTGAGTTTTTTGAGGCTCGGTATCCCTTTTGGGGTTGTTAACAAAATCAAAGGAGAGTAAGGGAAGTCAACGAAGCTTCAATCCAAACCAAACAACTGCGGCAAATCAAAGGAACCCTAAGGAAAATCAGAGGAAAGGCAAAGGAAGCCAAAGCAAAGTAAAAGAAATCCAAGGGAAACCAAAGCACATTCAAAGGAAAGAAACCGCAGGAAACTAAGGAAAATTCAAAGGAACCTAATCGAAACCAAAGGAACATCACAGGAATCCAAGGGAAACCACAGAAGAATAAGGAAAGTGACAGGAAACCAAGGCAAACCAAAGGAAATTCAAAGGAAACCAAGGGAAAATCAAAGGAACCCAAAGGAAACCAAGGGAAATCAAAGGAAACCAGGGCAAACCAAAGGAAAATCCCCCCCAAAAAATACAAAGGAGCTTACAGAAAGCTCGAGGGTGTGCCAAGGGAATGCGCCAAAGCGCCAGGTGCCTGGCGTCAGGCGTCGAAGCCCTTGCGCTTCGACCGCCAGTCTCTGGCGGTCAGAGTGACCTCGGAGAACCGCTGGGCCGCTTGGCAGATGTGGCAATCAAAATTAAACGATCGGGGCAAACCGCAGGTTTTGGTACCCATGTGTTCACTTACCAGGGCAACCCATTTTGGAATTCCGGTTTTTTGAGCCACAGCCAGATGTTTCCGCAGCATGGTATGTCTAACTACAAGGAGTGGCGTTGAGCTGCTTGAACGATGAGCTGCGGGTCTTTCTCAAGGGTGCCAGGGCTCTGATTTAGTCAAATTAACTCTGGGGGAGAGGGGGGAGTTGGCTAGGGGGTTTTGCTGTGGAGTTGGAGGTTGCTGCTCCGTCTTTTTGGGACTTGTCCATTAGCCACCGCTGAGTGGCCACTACCAATAGCGTAGTGTCTCAGCGGTTGTCGGGTCGCCTTTTGAATATCTGTGGCTAGTTGCTCGACGGCACAGCCTGTCACTCAGCCAATCTCTCTGTCTCTGTAGCGCTAGTGGGTAAGTTCACTCTGCGAGAAGCCTGTTTAGAGCCGGCCAATTGCGTTTTGTCGGTCTTGCAGGTGTGGAAATGGTTTGAGAAGGAAAAGCAGCCCACAGCATTCCTGTTTTGCCGGAGAAAGTCAAGTATCCCGGCTCATCCTTTTCGTCTTGGAGCCCCCCCTCCGCTTTTTTTTGCGGTAAAGGGAAACAAGCAGGAACCTCGTTTGTCTATGTTGGGGGTCCGATTCCTAAAGCGACGAGCGGCGCATAGAACCCACACAGGGGTTCCCTTAAAGGAAATTGGTCTAGGAACCCAAAGGTGGTTCTATGTATTTTGGGGGAGGGTACATTCTCCACATGTTGATATGGTTGTGTCGATGTTTTAAGGTTGGACCCCCAACATCAATTTCGGTGTTGCTGCTTGTTTCACTTTAAACCACCAAAAAGGGGTACCCAAAGCGACTTTGTGCAGTTAGGCGGAAATATTGCTTGGATCAGGCATTGACTTTGACGGCAAAACGGGGTAAGAACACACACACCCACATGAGGTGGGGCCATGCTGTACATTTGTTTACTTTTATATCTTGTTTCACGTATTTATCGCTTTACTTATTTATAGTCGTTTTTTTTTTGTTGATGTATTTATTTGTATATATATATACACTTGTAATTTGCTTGTTTAGATTTGTTTCTATTGTTATATATATATATATTAACGATTTGTTTATTATTTAGTTAGTTATTTATGTATTTATTTAGGTGGTTGAGATCACAAACGCGTGCGGTGTTGGAAAACGAGGTCAATGCATCCAAACGCTTGGGCTGGAGAACGCGGTGGGAACACCCGACCACTCAAACATCTAGCGCATAGCTGTCGTAGCTCATATGATGTGGGTTTTCTGGCTCGGACGGTCCCAAACCACGGTTTGGGGCACTTTGCGGTTGGGGATATTTGTTGGGGTAGGCCCGTTGGTTGAAAGGGGGTTGGGAAACCCAAAACGAAGCGTCAAGAAGCGGTTGCCTGTTGAGGGGTTCTCCAAACCACATTGCAGGGCGGTTTCCCACACACCACAACTAAGAAGGCAACTTTTGAAGCTGTCAGTTTCAGCGCTCCTTGCTGAGTTGAGTTACTTCCTCGTGATGCTTCTGTCTTCGCTGGGTCCATTGCCCCCTTTCCCTGGATGAGCGTGCTCCAAAGATGAAAACGTCCCAAACTGAGATGACGCCTTTGTCACCAAGACCTGTCATGAACTTTGGTCAACATTTCCAGTGGTTTATGTCTCGTTTGCAATATATGTGGGATTCGCTGAAGGGTCTATTTGAAGACAAGGAGGCAGGCCCACTTACCACCTTGGTTGTAAAGATGCCACACGAATATTTTCAGAACTCCCAGCGTTTGGGCCTGTTTTTTCCAGTTTGCAGCCTGTTTCGGGCCATGATGGCCATGTTTTTCCAGTTGGCCACGCTCACTCGGGGCCACGCTCAACGAGAAAAACCCGCCACCTTTGGGGGGGTTCCGGTGAGCGACACCCGGCCAAAGCGATTTCGGGTCGAGGTGGTCACAGTGGATCAGCTGCAGCCGGAAACTACCTACACCCTGCAGCTGAGGCGCGGCTTCGACGCCGAGGTGAGTCGGTGGGTTTGGGTTCGGTGTGTTTTTTGGGTTTGGGTCTGAAGATGGTGCAGAAGCTCACATCAAAAAGAGGTCATCGGTTCGTTGTTTTTTGGGTTTGGGTCTGATGCAGAAGTTCACATCTTAGAGGTCATCAGCCTCTCAAAATGGGGCGGTTCACGTCCTTAGAGGTCATGTGCACATTGACTCTGGATTATTCTTGGCTTTGTACGGGGTTCTTGTAAGGACCATGAGCCATATAAGGCTCCCTTTGGCCACGAACTCGCTGAGGGGCGTGACGGCTGCCGGCAGTGTGACGAAGTGGTCCGCGAGATCCGAGCCCATGGCAACCGTCAAGGAGGAAATTGGGCACGAGGCAGCTGCAACTCTGGGGATGGGGACAGGGCAACAGAGCTGGTCGATGAATCAAGTGTGGCTGTGGGTCAAATCCAATGGTATCATTTTGGGGTAGGTGCACCACCCATTTTAGGACCCATTGATGAATGGGAACAAAAAAGCTTCACTTGTTGGAGAAACACCGCGCTGATTCGCCTTATCCCTTGAGTGAGTCCTCTTCTTCAAGGTATGCGAGACTTCCCCTAAAAAATCCCTGAAGAAGCCTTCGGCACAAAGGTCCCTCTGGTTTGCAAGGGCTTTGAGCCATGACGAGACCATCGTTTCAAGCGAACTTCGATCTCTGAACCCAAGTCCCGCGCCAGGTGGATCTGTGCGTGGGCGTCAACGAGGAGTCCCCGGCAGTGCCGCCGCCCGCTGCCGGGGGACCCAGAGAGCCGTGCGCAAACTTCGAGCCCCAATTTGAGGTCCCAAAGACGAGGGCGATGGGGACAGGTCCGGGAGAGCAACTGCTGATTGATTCATGCTCGATGTACTGGAGTACATTAGAGCAACTGCCTGTTTGAAGCAGGTGCAAAACAGGGCAGCAACACCCTCCGCCAAAACGGCAAAGCCACCCCAACGTGTCTTTTTCTCCGGCCTCGGATTTAGGCCCCAAGCTTCACCAAGCGCCAAACAACCGTGTGGCCCTTTCAAAAAAAATATTGCACAGTGCTTGGCCCGAACACACCGTTTAGAAGGCAAGGTTATTTCTTTTTTCAAAACCAGTTGCTTCTTTTTCCGCCGCTTGCTTCCTTTGGCCTGGATAGGGTGTGTGGTCCACATGGTGCCTTGGGCGGTCGTGGTGGTCTCACGCTTACCGCCTGCCGAAGCGCGTTTGCTGCGCAGTTCCTCCAAACCGAGGCCCAACACACACGCCGCCAGAACTGCACTTGCCTGGAAACGCCGTTGTGTACTCACAGTATATATATATATACACATGTCGATTTGTTGATTTGTGCATATTCAGAGGTGGAGAACGAGGTGGGAACACCCGACTATTCATGCACGCAGCAAGTATTTGCCGTAGCTCAAATTCACCATCAATAATATCATCTGTACATTTGTATGATGTATATTTTTCATGCGTCATTTGGGTCTGGGTCAAATTTAAGCCACCAGGGGACCGCCTGTTTGAGTCATGGGTTCCATTTACCAGGGTTCCATTTTGGGTACCCATTTTTGACCCACAACCATTTGGATTTCCTGCAATCGATGCACTTCCCAGCTACCCGGTCACCCGAGCCTTTTTTCAGCCTCTCAGGCCATGCCAGAGGTGGGCTCGGAGTCGGTGGAGGCGATTCCGAAGGGGCAATTCAGCCATTCTGAAGGCGTCAGTGTCATTGATTTGTACCGAAACATAATATTATATATACATAAATACCTGGAGTCTCCATGAGCCTTGACAAATGGGGCCATTACCCAAAATTAAGGGGTCATGACCCCTTTTTCTAGGGGTCATGGAGACTCCAGGTCACCCCCGCCCCATGATCCACAGCTGCCAGTGAATACTGAAAAGCCAGTGTAAATACTATCTGTAGTTTTACACATATAGATTTAGTCATTTCTTGGAAGCACCGTGTAACACAGTGTCCGGTTGATTGATTTTTGCAGTGGGGAGTTTGTATGTGTCCTTTAGTTCGTCTCGTTGAAGTTGAAAATATCTTAGTTTGATTCGAATCCATGGGCTTGCAATCGGGACAGGACTTCTCCAGAAAGTTGGAGTCCGTTCTGTCCTTCACCATCCAGCAGGCAAGAGGTTCCTGCCGTTGATCCGTAGTTGGCAGATGATGGAACCTTCTGGACTTTGCTGATTTTTGACAAAGTGTCGCTCAGAGTATTGATGGTTGGCGTGCCTTGTCCGTGTTGAGGATCGATCTCTCAGCCAAGGCTTCCTTAGGGAACTTTGCGCACATGGTTCGGATCTTCTTTCTGGCTCAAGGCTCTGCAGATGTATCACTTGGAACTTGCTTGCTTGGGGTCATTTGCAAAACCTCCAATAAATTCGGCAAGTGCGGAAACCACCCAATGCCAAGGTTTGGGCTGACTTGTCGCGTTTTTCCCGGTGGTTTCTATGTCGAGCCGGACAGCCCACCGTTTCTCGCGAGGCCACGGGTGGCGTTCGCCTGCCCTCACTTCACATCCCCTCGGTGGCGGAGCAGGCGAAAGAACTGCTGGAGATGCACCGCACCCGCAGCTCGGTCGACTCGGGGCATCTCGGGGCGCGGAGTCGGGACTTTTCCCATGGGCACTGCGACTCAAGTGGTGGACATAGTGCGGGGTGTCTTGCTTTTCGGGGAACCCCCGCAAATGGCTTCGGTTTTCCCGAAGACTTCCCTTTAAAGACACCGAAAAAGGCCTTTGAGAAAAGGACGCCCGTATGGCTGGGAATTTCAATTCGGTGTCCGAACCGGCTATGATGTTCAATAGTGAACCCCATTCAGAGGTTGACACAGCCCACCGAAGTGTTATGTCCACCAAGACAGGCGGGAACCATGATGATGATAGAATAAGTTTTGACCTCGCGCATGAGTCACAGTCAAACTTAGATGAATGTCAGTAGGGGGCAAGTTACGAGCTAACATAATTTGTGCGAACATCCGTGCTTTAAAAAAAAAAAGAACAATAAGTTCATTGTATCTTGAATGCCAGGGTTTTGTGACTCAAACTTTCGCCTCCATCCTTGGGGCCTCGAGTCTCAGGTTGCCAGAAGGCGTAAGACCTAAGTTCGGGGCACTTGCGGCGAGACGGCCGGAGTTTGGGATGACATCCAACGCTTTTGCACATTCCACTGGCGTTTCTTTGAAGACTCAGGGAATGACCCAGGGAGTGAACCGGAAGGGGATTCCCGAAAGGAAACCAATCGGGATGGTTTCCTCGGGGTCATTCCGAGTCATTCCGTTTGAGACAAATCCAATGGTAAGGTTTGGGTCACTTGCCCCCGAGAGATATGACGTGTCGTGAGCTTGCAAGACCTGTTTTGGGTGGGTTTAGCAGGGATTTGTTGGGGCGCGCACTTGTTGCAGCGCATGATGGAAGGCTACATGGGTGTCATGGGCGTGCCTTTCTTTTCGTTGGAGGAGTCCCCCTTTGTTTGCCGGTTTGTTGGTGGTTTTAAGGGGAAACCAAAAGGAAAATCACCCATTTGAAACTTGGCGGGTCCAACCAAAAACTCGAGTGCCGTTTTTGATTCTCCTTTCTTGTGGTTTCAAAGGGAAACCAAAAGGAACACCCATTTGGGGTGTCCAAAACCTCGGGAAAACTCGCGACGTCCATCGAGGTGAAGCCGCAGTGCTGCAAGCGGCTCGCATCGAGGACGACGCCTCTTGGCAGACCAAGCTGCCGGACTTCTTGATCCAGCAGGCAAAGGGCGAAGCGCGAAGCCACCGGTTTTGGGGTGGGCCACCTACTCGTCCGGCCGCAATAAGCTGTATGGTTTTGGTGTTGTGGGATTCGGACCTTCAAAAATGGTGGTTTTCGGTTTTCCTGTTGGTTTCTGAAGGAATTTGCACAGAATTGGGAGGGACAGCGCGGTATGTGACGCTCCCATCATCAGCCCGTATCTTTGCGGCATCTCCTCACATGAGCGGACCGTGTACCGCAAAACACAGCTATCACGTTTGTCGCTCTTGCGCATACGCAGCGGTGTTTTGAGCCCAAAAAGTGGACAGCAAACATGGCACCTTGACCAGAACCCCACGAGAGTGTCAGCCTTGATCTGCATGTGTCCGTCTGCAACTTCACACGAGTTGCCAGTGCAATGAGAAAGGCTGCCCTAGTGTTTGGTGCTTCGTTGCACTTGGCCAGCCCCGCAAAGAAGGACCTGGTGCGTGTGTTTGTCTTTGTTCTGCGCAACACATATCCCTGCCACCGCCTCATCAAGGATTGTGTGTGACAAAGCGGACTTGGCTGACATGCGAAGCTGTCTTGCACCACATTGGTTTTTGCAAACAAGCTGTCACGTGCTGGAAACTGGATCCTGTGCGAGAAATGCACACCTGTCCAGCGCAGGGTGGTATGCCTCCAGAAGACGTTCGCACGCATTCCCATCTCCCTGCAGAATGCTAGTCCCAGGCTGCAAATCAATTTGGCCATCGCAAGCTTCAATTTGCATGTAGGCAGAACTGTGCCGCTGCTGGAGATTTGCGCAGTCCTCAGGCTGCGCCAATCAGTAAGTGTGGCGCTCTAATGGCTGTTTACGACATCGGCCATGTCGTGAGTTGACGAAACAACATGCTGCTGCAGCATGGCCTCCAGCCCGGATTTCCCGCGGATATAGCCACAAGCATAGTGTCGAACATGCTGGGGATGACTCCGACTGCCAATCCAGCTGTCATAAACCTTGCCCGTCCGAGCAAGTTGTACCACTTGACTGCGTTGCCATTGGACTGGTGTGCTCGTATTGACTGCAACAAACATAAGAACAACTTTTTGAAGTGTTTGACGGGGAATTGCACAACTCCAAAGCGTCTGAATGCCTGCCTCCAGATTTCAACGGCAATCCTCAAGAAGGAACCGCCTTCTGCCTGCATTCTTTGCTGGGCGCATGCGTGCAAGTCTCGCTGCGCCAGCACGGCTTTAGAGAGCTGGCGAGCAAGGACACGCGCACAGCTACACGCCATGCGAAATGGGCATGGCCTTGAAGAACTTGGCAACCTCCATCTCCAGGCCCTTGCAAACCTTGAGCCCGTCACAAGGTCACAGAGGCTTCTGTCGTATCGCCCCCTTGGCGCGGCCCGAATGGCGTGGTCTTGATAAATGGATTGGTCACTGAATGGGGATTCTTTCTGAATACAGAGGTGGCTCCCCATTTGGTGTCCATTTACACCCACCCCAAAAAGGCACGGACGAAGCCGCCGGGTTGTTTGGGCACGGCTTTTGGCAGGTGCCAGTGGTGGGCTGTCCGACGATCTTGCTGCGGGAGCCACCCGGACGAAAGATGTGCGGCCTTTCATGAACAGGTACTGCCTGGATCGCCAGTTGCTATTTTTGTTCCATGCACTTTACCCCTAAAACCAGCAACAGTGACTGACAAAAAGCAGCAACTTGGCTATCTAGGTGAGTGGCATCCTGTGATCTTCGGATCTGTTTCTTTTCATTTGAAACGAAAAAAATGAAACGCAAATCCTCCATTTGAAGATCAACTAAATGCATTTTTGCTTGTGCGCCGCAAAAATCGCTCCTTTGAACCGCGCCCAACGCCTCCGCGTTGAAAAGCCGCCGGACTCCCAGGCTGTGGCGCAACATCCGGCGCTGCGCGCTGGTGGCGCACTTGTACGGCCACGACACGCGGAGCCCCGACACGCGGCTTGGAGGAGAACTTTGGCGCTGGGTGCATTATAGGTCTAGGAGAAGACGGAAGAAATGACGAGGCCTTTGGGGGGTCCTTATATATTGAGGGTCTTGGGCTCCTAGGGTAGGTTGTAGGGTTTTCTCAATCAAGAAGAGCCAACTCAATGAAGGGTGTTAATCCATGAACAATGTAGCAATGGTCAAATATTTCCGAGGTTTTGGCAGCTGTAGGATTCAAACCGGTATGAGTCAAATCAAAGAAGCCCCAGGGGACCTCGGGTTTTGGTCGATGTGTCTGTTTACCCGGGCCGCAGCCAAACAAGAAGAGCCAACTCAATGAACGGTTTTAATCAATGTAACAATGGTCAACGATTTCCGAGGTGTTTACAGCTGCAGGGATCCTTGGGTGCCCGAAACCGTGAAGGCTTGAGTTACTAGTCGATGCTGAAACTCGATCAAAGCATCCATTGAACGCAGCATCCCTTAAGGTCGGTCGCCTTGAGGTGAGTCATCTAATTATAAGGACCTTTGATGCATTCAGAGGCTGTTTGCGACTGCATTGTTGGCTAACTATTATGCTTTCTCACATTCGATATTTGCAATGGTCGAACAAGGGAGGAAAACTGCAATGAGGCCTTGAACAGGATACACAGAGACCCCCAACCCTTGCAACTTAAATGAGGAGTTGTGGCATTTTATATTTCCACCTTGGGTTTGATGCATTGCGATCGCACAGACTCAACAGTCCACTTGGGGCTTGATCAAAATGCCTGGCCCAAAATGACCATGGGTAACCTATTCTCCCATTGAATTTAGTTCGGTTCATGCCAAATCTCTTTTGGTGGTTTCCCTGCTGGTTTTGACCCCACTTGTTTTTTGCGGTCCTTTTTTCATCAAGCCCCACGTGGTGGACCCAGAAACGAGCTGTTCAGGCAGGCGCTGATCCTCACGTGTCTGGTGCCGGCGGGGAACAGCAGCCCAGCCGTGCCAGTGGCGCCGCGCCCAGGGGTCCTCGGAAGCCATCGGAAGCGGGAATTGGGTTGAGCTGGGAGGGCATTTTCGGAATGGACTGTCTCGGGTGAAGAGAAGAAACTGAAGGTTTGTTTAATAGATGTTGAGGGGATGTCGGAATGCATGGTCGATTGTACAGTTGATCAAAGAGAGGAAACTGATCTTGGATGTTTGGGAGCTTGGTCTGTGTGAAGCGAATTGTCTCGGGTGTTTTTTTTTTTCACGGGGAAGCTCCTGGAAAGTGGTTGGTGGACATGAATCCCCACCGACTTTTGATGTCCACCAAAACAGCCCTAGTAAAAAGATTCAGACCCAAGTGAAGAGAAGAAACTGGAAGGTTTCTTGTTTGATGTTGGGGGAGCCTGATCGATGATCAAGTTCTTCAAAGAGAGGAAGCTGATCTTGGATGGGGAGAAACTGGTCAAGTGAAGCTGACAAGGTGAGATTACGTCAGCCCCGAAAGGTGCCGGCCAGTGGCAGCGCAAGCTCCCAGCAAGGTGGCGGCCTGAGGCGAATCGCGAGCGAGCGCCTCGCGGTCGGTTTGCAATCACTGCTTGGTGTTGTTGCTTGCATGTTTTGTACAAATTGGCCAAACTCCAAGTTGCAACAGCCAAGATGGTTCGTCAGTTTGGGTGCGGATCCGTGAAGATTGGTGAACAGCGTGGGGAACGAATTTACCGGCTGAGTGAGTCTCCCAGGGAATGTTCTTGGACATTTCGCTGGATTCGCGGCTCGCCGAATGGCCAAGGCTATGCGGCACCTGCCGCGAACCCCGGGACGTTGGCATTGGAGGCGCTGCGCGAGTTGCAAATGCGTCAATGCCAAAACTGGAGGCACGTCATTTGAGCCACAATCAAAACCTGGGTAGATGAAGGTTAGTAAGGGGCAGCCCCAGCCAGAAATTGTTGTGGCCGCCTTCTTAACTCTTTACATGGTTCTGGGTAGACCATTTTAATACGGGGTTTTGATTGCGACTCATTTTGTTTTGTTGAGCCGTCGGCACCAAACCTGGGTCCGGCGGTTCGGGTGAGCCAAGGCTTTCATGAAACATGTTTGTCCACAATGCTGGGTAGGTTCAGGCTTATGAGAACTTGACAGCCATAGGCTGACCTCAGTGAAAACATGTTTTATCATTATATATATATATATATATATACATCAACAAACAAAACATTTTGGGAGATCATTTTGCTTATCATTGTTTCATCATTTGTTCATCAGAGGATTGGCCTTACAAAGTGCAGAGGTGTGGCCTTCTGACGCATGCTGCGGCAACAGCCATCTGCCAGGACAGCGCCAACAAAGCCCGCGTGGCGCTCTTGGTCTCGCGGGCCTTGGCAAAGGAGCGAGACGCACGATCCATATCGAAGGGGCACCGCTAGGTTCACGTGATCGGATTTGTGTCACAAAATACCCCCCCCCCCCCCCTTCCCCCCGCCCAAAAACAAAGATAATAAAAATGCTGGTGTTCCTTTTGGTGTGCCTTTAAAAACACTAAAAGCGGGTTATCAACACAAAAAGCAAGAGACTCATGAGCCATGTCTTGCTTTGAGCCTGTGAGTTGCTTCATTTGAGCCTGATGCACTGAGATCACGGGCCATAGGAAGACCTACCGGCCAGGAGGCCTTGGTTAGAGCTACCGGGCTTCGACTAGCAGGGCAGGCAGGGCATGGAAGCAGTAGACCCAGTTGCATTTGACCTAAGGCTCCTGAAGAGCGTTTTGATCCTGGAGCCTTGGGGTTGTTTACAAAGATATTACAAAGATCACCCTGTGGAGCCGTTTTTTTTTTTTTTTACACCGGCTTATTCTTATATGGTGATGTTTCAAGGAGACATGACAAGGAATGGAGCCTCTCTTTTTTTCCAAAGCTGATTCGGGCGATGTGTCAAGGAGACATCAGAAGGAACCCGAGTTGTTGGATCGACTCGACGACTGCCCTCGAGGTGGTTGGTCTCCTGGAGGTGGCCGGCGGGCTGCTGCAGAGCCGCGAATCCAAGGAGTGGACGCCGTGAAGCCGAGCTGCGAGTCTCCTTTGGGCTGAGAGGAAAAACAAACAAACATTTTTTTCAAGCCACCAGAGGTCACGAACAACTGCTTAAGCCAGTTCTCCCCCATCTGTGCGCAGGGCTGAGTTTTGCCTGGCTCAATGTCAGCGAGAGCTAGGGCAAACCGCAGGTGGCCGTCTTTGGTTTCATTTACCCAGGTGCCATCTGAGCAGCTCTAAAAACCCCCCGTTACATCCCAAGCAACAGTTGTGTCATAACAAGGCCCCGCGTAAGCAAAACCCTGCACGGCGTAAGCCGGCGTAAGCACTTTTTGGGGCAACATGCTGCGTAAGCACCTGCGCAAGCTCTTCTTCGTGACTGCTTGGTAAGCTTTGTAAGCATGCTCGGAAGAGTTGTTTCACATATGTGCTTGTGTGTTTATTGGTGGCTGGTGCTGTTGCAACCTAGTCGAGCTTGGCGACTTGCCCGGACACTTTGGCTGCAGGAAGACGTCTAAGACCCCAGGGGCGCACCAATCGAAAACAAAACCAGCAGAACTTCGAGTGGGAGCCCCGAGAGCTCATTCTAGGTGCTGTTGCAACCTTTACTAGGACAACAAAGGCTTCTGAAACCGCTGATTTAGGAAAACTAAAGGGGCTCGGGCGCGTAAGCTTGCGTAAGCAGGCGCGTAAGGTTCGCGTAAGCTCGCTTAGCTCGGCTGCCCGTTTGCCCTCGAGGTGGATGTCGCTGCCGCATAACCCGTTTCTTGACTTGCAGTAAGAACATAACGCCAAGCCGCTGAAACTCGATGAGGGTAGTTCTTCGTCATCTTCTTCCTCAGGATACATCATTTTGAACAGTTCTGGCGGCTGCATGAGAAAAAGGAGCCCGCGTAAGCAATTCTTGAGCGGAAACGCTCCAAGCGCCCACGCGTAAGCGACGCGCAAGCTCAACATGCTCGCTGTCTGCCGCGTAAGCAAAAACATGGGTCGCGTAAGAAAAGCGCAAGCTCGCGCGTAAGCAACTTGATACGACATAGGGATTCATGGGAAGTTTATAGAGTCGCTCATCTTGGGAATTCCGTCCCTTTGAGCCCCAGGCGTCTGGAATCCGACGACCGAAAACCCCCGTGCCCGGTTGCACTCCCTCCTGTTCAAAAAATTGCCCTTGGAGTTAGTCACCACGTCACCACCACCCCTTTAAAGGAAATCACCCCGTTGGGTAAGAAGAAGCCTTGCCCATTGGGGTTTTGTCTATGGGTAATTAGTCGTGGGACTAAGGACTCAATCAACCCCCGCGGAAACCAGAAGAACTCCCCAATCAACAATTTTGGTCAAGGCATTTCAACCCTCCCCATGAGTTGTTTTCCCGGATCCACGTGATTTGCCCCAACGCCCCTCGGGGCGGGTTAGCCGCAAATCTTAACAACCTGAAACCCAAGCCCGGACAAGAATAATAACCCTAAAGCCTCAATAGCCCTGCAGACCCTAAACCCAAACCTGACCCCTAACAAACCTCAAGCACTAAACTTAATCCCAAACAATCCTGTTTGGCGGAGGGTATGGATGGGCTAATTGACTTCCCCCCCCAACAACAGATAAAGCATAGCTCCTCGAGGGCAAAGCGCATGTTGGTTATTTCACGGGAAGATTTGCTTGAGTATTCAATGTTGTGATCGGTGGGAGGAGGCAGCAACAGAGGCTACGACGCTAAGCACGCTCTCAGGCTGGGCCATTCAATTCGGACTCGGGGCCGGGAAGGCACTTGGTGTAAGACTGAATACCTGACGCCACAGGCACCGAAAGCGTGTATCATGTCCCGGACCATCCAACCCAAAGGGATACATGGTTGAAGTTCCGCCGAAAACGACGGAAAACAGAAAACTGAAACCACAAGTCACTCACCCGTGGCCTCTCACTTTTGGGGGCTGCCGGGTTGTGAAGATTGACATCTCTTGTTTGGATATGCTTCAACCGTGTGAAAAACTCAACGGGGCGACGTGCGGCACGGCGTGAGTCCTGGGCTCTCCGCCCAGATGATGCCCTTGCTGACACCACGTCGCCTGTGGGGGTAGCCCTCGCGGGAGCCCGAGCATCGGGTTCTCACCAACCACGGACGGATTCCATTTCGCACCACCTAAGAAACTCTGGAATGATTCGATTCCCCAACGTAAATACCAACACTCAGTGGTTGTTCATGGTTTCACGTGGTGCCGGATTTTTGTCCACCGTATGGATGGACAAAATAAACGCTGATCGGCACCAGTGGGATGGCTTATCAACCAGTTTGGATTGGGATATTATCCATCCCAGGTGAATGATTTTGTCCAATCTCGGTATGAGATTTGCCTGCTTTAGTGATGCCCAGAAACAATAGGGATGGTCCAGCCGCAAATCCCAGTGAACCAAGGGCTTGCCTTCGGGGTGGGGTTTGGAGCGGATCTCATTGTGTTTTTTGAATAATTATTTGAAGAGCCCCTGAGGGTATTCCTGACCCCCAATGCAAAAGCTAGTGAGGGGTTGGTTCTGCATGGGTCTCGTAGGTGGTATGACCGCGTTTAGAATTATGCGCTGCAACCAGGTGTGCCCCATTACAGCTGGATGCGAGAAGTGAAATAAAGAAGTTGATTATAGCTGCTCGACCACGTTGACTTTTCGCGGCGCTGTGCTTGCGCGTTTTCGTGTGGGTGTTGGATTGTTGGTTTGGTCAGATTCTCATTGTCATTGGGCTGCTTAGAAATGCTCTGAATGCAGCTATCCGACTTGTGCAAGCGACTGAAAGCGATGTTAGCACAGCAGCTCTTTCAACACGACTTGCGCAGAACGACTTTGTCATGTAACTCGCGTAGAAGTACTTCTGCAGGACGGCTTGCGTAGTACGACTTACACGTGCCTGGCTTGGATGGTTCGACTTGCTCAGCGTAACTCGCGCAAAGTGTTTTGCGTAGAGCTTGCATTGAGCGCCTTCCTCACTTGGGGAGCTTCCAACACGGACAAAGGTGTTCCATGCGGTTTCCCTTTAGAACCCCAAATAGGTAGCAACTGCCAAATCAGGCCCACTACAGCTTCAAGCAGGGACCCTACAACCCCCCCCCCAACTCCACCCCCGAGGGTTAGCGGCTTGAAAAAGCCTTATAGCAACATGGCCTCAACATGGTTGGTGTTGGGAAGCATTTTACATTTTTGCTTATTGTGGTTAAGTGGGAAATCCCCACTTAACTGCTAAACTTTAAGTTTTTGCTCCCCTTCCAACGTCAACCAAGTCAACTCGAAGGTCTTGGGATTGAAGCGTTGGCTGCAGGTCGTCTTCAAGCCACTCTCCTTTGACGAGCATTGGATCGTGGTGCTGGGCTTGTTGGTTTTATGGCCGGGACCCCGGAAGACCGTGTGGCTTTTGAATCCCCCCCCCCTCGCGGGCTTTTGCGGGGTGGTGCTTAACATGTGAGCGTTTAAGCTAGACCCTTTGGGGTCCTCAAAGGGAAGCCAAAAGGAGTTTGTTTATAAACAAGAATGGCGGTTTCAACATGTTTCAACATGCAGGGCTTGGCCGATGCCGAACAGCCCCCCTTGCCGTGAGGCTGCTGCCGATCTTTGTGTCGGCGGCCCGTTTCTTCGTCATCAAGATCTATCCCTTGATGGCGCAGCGGGTGGCCGGGGGTCCCCGGATCTTTGCATCAGAAACCAGTCATGATTTGCCATTGGAAACGGCGCCATGGTGGGGGGTCTTTTCTTGGTGGACTCCCCACCCAACCAAAAGAAAACAAAAAAACAACAACAACCACAAGGTGGTTTTGCTCTTGGTTTCCCTTTAGAGCCACAAAACAAAGGGGAACCCTCAAAGAGAGACAGACCCATTTGTGACATCAGAAGACCTCGTCAGACCATAAGGGTTCCTAAAAGAACCATATTTTGAGCATGGCGCATTTGATATTCGTGGGAGATGGCCTTCCTGGAGATTTAGATATTGGTTTGACCAAGGGTGCCATGAACATGACCTTTTAGCGACCGAAGGTTTTGAGTGGCTCATGGGGGAGAGGGAGCCAAGATGAGCAGCTTCTTGCTGGCCACCTTCAGCTGACATGGCATGGTCAAAAGACCGATCCACCTGGTAAGGGTCCTGAAAACAACCAGAAGGATTCCTAGATCCTGAGAATAACCATGACCCACCCGAGCGGCCTGACAGAAAACGGATCCATTTTTGCCCACCTGTGAAACGTCGCCGGATTTTTGGATGTTTCGGGCGAAGCGCGCGGCGAGGAACTTCCCATGGCCGCACTGCTGGGGATGACGGTCATCATCCAGGTCTTCGGCAAGGTGATGATCACTTGGGCCCGGACGCCCAGAGCCCACAGCGCGGCTTTGGAGCCGAGTTTATGGGGGGTTCGGAAGCCCGGTGGAGTGTAGGGCCTTCCTTTTTGGGTGCCTGGTGAAGATGGGCCTCCAGGTGATTTGTTTGTTTTTTTCCGGCGCTGAGGTCCAGCAAAACCTGGAGAACAACGTGAGCATCCCCGCCACTCGATGGATCTGGTGGGGTTCTAGAACGAAGTTTCGGCTCCGTGCCCATCTGAGGCGACGGTAGTTTTCGCCTTTTACACCCTGATCCCGGGCATCTCGATCTACCTGGCCACGCGAAGTGTGTTGCAAGGTGCGCTCGAGGCGGGATCCCGCAAGTCAACAAAGCGTCGCAAAACTATCCTCAAACCTTGTCTTGCCACGTTTGTGTTGGTGATTTGCACATTTTGAAAAAGACAAGAAACACCAACCTCAATCCAAGAGGAGTATTCCATGCTTTTCGGCGGGAAAGTGGAGAATGTCTCAGCAATAGGCGCCCTTCTTCATGCTCCTGGGGCTCTTCAACCTTGCCGCCGGCTTATCTTCCGTTGATTCGCGGCGGAGAGAACACCTCAGACTGTCAGCGCATACAGTAGGTGAGGTTTTACCCATTGACATGGAACCGGTCCCTTTTAAGGGGAGAGTGGTAAACCAGGACCCTGAAATGGTCAGGTTCCATGCTATTGGACAGGAAAGTACCCGCAAACCTCCGGCTTCCAGGACTCCTTTTAGCTTAGTTTTGGTTCGGCATAGATGGGTTCCACTGGTTTAGATTGTGTGTTTTCCATTTCCCAGGGAAACCCCTCAATTTTTCCCCAAACCAAAGGTCACCGGTGCGCTGGAGGGCTTCCAGGCAACAGGAATGGATTTCGCCTTTCGCCCAAGGCCAGTGGCTACTTGCGCTGGTCCAGCGACTTGAGCGATGACGCCGCCCTCGAGGAGCGTCCCGTCCCTCGCGTGGCTTGCTGCCCGGGCCTCGTGGCTCGAGTCTCCGAAACCCCACCTTTGATGCATTTTGCCAAGGGAGGTTAGGACATTAAAACTTTTTGCCAACAAGTTTGGGTTTTCCGTATTAAACCACTAAAGGTTAGAAACTGTTGGCGGGGGAGCAGAAAGCAACCGAGCCACTCTGGCTGCTCAACTCAGGTTCTCAGGGTTTTGGGTGTTTTATAAAGTATAAAGGATTTTTGGGTGGTGTTCAACTTTTTGACAGGGGTGTCCGGGCCCTACAAAGCCTCATGGTTTTGGGTTTCAACTTTTCGATGGCGGGAAAACGCCTTGAATGGCAACTGTTTGACAGATGTATATAGGGGTTTTGTAGATCCTTTTTTGAGTCATGTTGTTGGGTGTTGTTGTTTTCTCTACAGCGCGCCCTTGGATTGAACTTCCTCGAGGGAATCCGCTCAGGTCGCGAACAGGTGTTGCGATGGCGACATTGGCTGTGGGTGGGGCTCCTCATTGACTTTGTCTTGGAGGAGATCATGAGACATCCGATTGGTTGGTTTCCAGCTGTTCTTCATTGCACACCATCCACATATCCACATCTACATATTGTGCAGTGCCTGTCACTTTTGCTAGGATCAACGGCAGGCCTACGTAAGTATCAAAACAGCAGGTTCAAAGGGAATACTTGACTCGCACATCGTGGCCCAAGGCTAAAATCCAGGCTTATATAGAATCAAGAGATCTCAATCCTGAAATGTAGGCCTGGATCCAAGATCCACGAGAAGCAGGGACTTGTGCTTATGGATGAAGTAGGCAGCATTGTGTTAGCCAACCCGTTTTATGCAGCTGTCATTTTGGCAGACTCCAAAGCGGCCATCTTCCTTAGCACATAGTTTACCGCTTTCAAGAGGCTCTTGGGTTTGTCCATGCGTGCATATATATATATATATATACATGGTACGCCCCCCCCCCCCTGGTGTCTAGGTGTTTGCTTGCTTTCAGTCATTCAGGTGATTTTGCATTTTTTGGCCAGACTTGGGCACCAAGGCAGGGGGTGTGCCACAATTCTACAATTAAGAATTCTGGACCCCAGATTGCTGGGAGGCGTTCAATGTGACAATCTGAAATTCAATATTCAAGACTTGAAAACATTTTTTTGTGAATCCTGGAATGTTGAATCTTGCGTCCCATATTCAAAAAGTAACATCTGGGATTCAAGATTCAAGATTCCCAGACAAAGAATATTTTGAAATCTTGAATCTTGAATCTCATATTATTATTATGTTTGAAACAAATATGGGATTCAGGATTCAAGCTTTCAACAAAATGTTTGTCTGAGAATATTGAATCTTGAATCCCATAATTTCTATATATATATGTATGAATCCAGGTTTGTCCCAATACTCTCGGTTCAATAAGATTCTCGGAAAAGCTTTCCGTGAAATATGTCAATGTTGAATCTTCAATCCAATGGTAAAAATACGTTCGAAGTTTTAGAACAACTTGATCATTTTCAGGGTGTTGAACAGGATGGATGATTCTTAGGAAAGTTGTTGTTTGTGCAATCCTCGATATTGAATCCTCAATCCAGTGGTAAAGCACTTTAAAGTGTGAGAAGAACTTGAATGTTGTTTGGGTTTGGGCAGGATTGACAAGTATCAGGAAAGTGTTGTGTGTAATCTTCAATCTTGACTTTTCCATCCAGTGGTAAATACTTTCAAATGCTTAACGATCCAGAATCCAGTGGACACACTTTCAAGTTATTAGTTAGACAAACTTTCAAGTGCTTTTGGTGAGCGATTTGCTTCAATGTAGCTATGAAGCATGTTGACCCTTTCCCAGGAGGTAAACAAAGGTAGGTGTATTGCTCAAAAACACTGTATTTTGCAGTTGTTTATTAAGAGGCGCAGGATCATTAGGGGTACTGTATATGTGTGTGTGTGTATGTATGTGTATATATATATATATATACATATTTATGTATGTTGACACACCGTCACCCCCCTCTCTTGAACTACCTCTCCACATTTGCTCATCTACTACCTCCGCCTTTTGAGATAGAATGAATTTTAAATGTTGTCCTGTGCAAATAGAACAACTGATTCAGCTAGAATCCCTGTTTCGAAATAGTTCTAGAATTTGAACCTCTCTTCCCCTGAAATTTCCTTTTGGAACACCGTCTAACAAGCTTAATTTCGGACCTTTCTTATGCTGCAAAAGGGCCAGAATATAAATGACACAGATCGTATTTCGAATTTCCTTGTAGAAGTCCCGTAAATGTTTAGCCATATTTAATACGAACTAAATTTGAGAAGTAGTCTTTATTTACTTGATATTATGAAAAGCTAATGGAGCTGTGTTCGTATTGGATTTTATCTAACACTTAGATTGGGGAATCGACTCCTAACTTCTTTTGTTGAAGATTAGTTGGAGTTTGCCCGAAACCATACTTATATTCTCATGTAGCTCCTATTTGGAAAGGATTTACTTATATAAGCTGTAGTTGAGCAATGTTGAGCATAAACACATTTTTGAGAACTATATCCTAACCAAATTAGATTCAAAATTCCAATTCTAGTTGAAGTAAAATCCTTTTGAAAAAGGGTATCATATGGGGACATTTCGGATCTTGCCATGATGGACTGCAAGCCCATTCGTTTGTGCTTAAAATATATTGCACAAAATCTAAAAACTACAGCCTGCGCGCTGAAATCAACCCAAAGAGTTAGGGGGGGGTTGCATGTGTATATATATACATGTATATTGCATGTGTTTATATATATATGGCATATATATATATATATGGTCAGACCCCCCCAATATACATATATATATATATATATGTATGCACGGCCGGTGCATCTTGCATGCTTGTTTGACTCATGTCTGCTGCCGCTTTGAGAAAACTCAATGGTAGATGCGGCACATGTTCATTGACGACCCCGGCCGCAGGAGATCGCAGGGCGCGTCTTTGGGCTGCACGCGCTGCGGCTGCTTGGGCCGCCTCTCACCAGCTTCGGAGCCACGCGTGGCGCTCAAGCGATATGTCGCGAGACGGGAGGGGAGGGGAGGAGAGGAGGGGACGAGGGGACAAGAGGGTTTGGGGGAAGGGGTTGAGGGTTGAGGGTTTGGGGGTTGGGGGACAAGAGGAGGGAAAGAGGAGGAGAGGACAAGGGGACAAGGGGTTTTGGGGGTCGGTTGATCAAAAGGTCCAAGGAATTGACATCGGAAGAGTTACCCTTGGTCATTTGGGGCCCGAACGCAATATTGACCAACGCCATTTGGGGGTTAACGTTGAGACGGTCATCCGGTGCTTCGACAAGAGGCCACGCACCTACGTGGAAGGGACGGTCATCGGTCATCCGCCTGGCCACCTTGTCGTAAGGTTTCTGAAAGTAACCATTTGCAGTAGAGCCGGCAAAGCCGGTTGGCGGAAGTTTCGATCTATAAGAACTATAGTCATATGTCCCTTTCTCGTTGTTTCTCTCTCTTCCCCTTTCCTTTTTTGTTTTTCTCTCTCTTTATTTGTCTCTTCTTGTTTTTTTTTTTGTTTTCTTCTCTTTGTTATCTTTCTCTTTTGTTTTTCTTCTTTCTCATTGTGCGTCTCTTATTTCTCTCTTTATTATCCTCTTTCTCTGTCTCTCGCTCTCTCTCTCTCTCTCTCTTTCTCACTCTCTCTCTCTCTCTCTCTCTCGCTCTCTCCTCCTCATTATTGTTTTTTGTTGTTCTCTTTCTATTTCTCTTTGTCTTTCCCCTTTCGTTCTTTCCTGAATGCCCGTCTGTCGAGACAACGCATAAAACACATATTTATCTTTGTCTCGCTCTCGTTTTTTCTTGTTCTATCTATCTACTTATCTATCTGTCTGCCTGCCTGCGTGTCTGTCTGTCTGTCTATCTATCTATCTTTCGGAGAAATATACAGCTATCTAGCTATCTAACCACCTATCTGTGTATCAGTCTATCTATCTGTGTATCAATCTATTTGTCTATCCATCCAGCCATCCATCTATCTATCTATCTATCTATCTATCCAAATTTCCTTACATATCTACCTATCTATTTGGCTACCCGTGGGAATCCGTGCTGATGGGCCATTGAGAACCCTGCCCAACTGTTTTTGTCCCCCCATGGTTGAACAGATCGTCTTCTACAGCTTGAGCATTGTACAAGGGTTATTTGCTCCATGTGGGTCATGGAACTTGACGAATCTGTTTAGAGCCCTGCAAGTTGTCCTTTAGGTGCTCCTTTTCCTTACCTGTTTGCATGAAATCCAGCTGGTGTTGCTGGGGTCTATATGAGCCCCTTCTCACCATCGCACCAAAGTAGCCATGGGTTTTGGGACCCCGGTATCTTTTTCATGGCGAAAGAAGAAGCCGCTGGCTTGGGACGTGGTTTTTCCATGGCGTTTAAAGCCCTGGTGGTTTTCTCTTTTCATGGCGTTCAAGCCCCTTTCATGGCGTTCAAAGCGTTATTTTTCTTCAAAGCGCCGGGCAAAGGGAGACGATGCGACAAGGCTTGTGGAGTACCGCACCCTCGCCTTTGCTGCTGGCCTTGTAGCAGCCTGGGCTCAGGCCACTGAGTCGAATGACTGAGCACTGGCCTGGAAATTAAGTGTTGTTTTTTTTGGAGCCTACCGTTTGCTTTTTTGAGGCTACCTTGGTTTTTCGTGTTTTTCTCCTTGTTTTTTTGAGGCTACTTTTTTTTTGTGTTCGCTTTGACACGGACACCAAAAGGAAAGCCAATCCATTTGAAGGCAAACCCAAGGACCTCGCACTCCGCAGCTGTAGACAGAACGACCTAAGTGGACTCACGAAAACCACAGGAATTGACATTGGCTCGCAGGCGAGGGCGCTTGAGCTGTTACAGAGCCAGGGAGCCCAGCGTTGGCGATTGGGTCCCGTTGATCCGGTTGATCCGGGGGGGCGGGCTGAATTTGGGGAATGTTCTTTGCGCAGTCGCCTTTGACTGGTCGCTTTGGCTGGATGGCTTTTTGAGACACACTTTGCTGGGCGATGTATTGACCAAACCAGACGCGATCCCGAGCTGCCGTGTCACGGGCCACACTTTGGTCTGTGGCAAGCTTATTCCCCCTGAATCTTGGTTGTGACCAAATCAGGTTAACTGTCTAGGCGTGGCCTTGGGATTGCTGCTTCCCAAGTGGGCAGTGTCAATTGCGACGTGACTTTGTGTAGAGCCAAGCCTTACAATCCGGAATCGATTCAGGAAGGCCCCAAAAAGCTTAAAGCAATTTTGGGGGAGTTGTTTTTTGTTTTTTGTTTTATCCTCTTGCCATGGTCCAAGCGAACAAACGGGGGAGAAAAAAAAAGAGAGCGGCCCGCCATGGGGCCTGTTTTTGAAATCAGTTTTTTTTTACACCATAGCATATGTGGATGCACCTTTCTCGCACATGCGGTCTTTGGTGGTTTTTGTAGAAGGCCACCAACTACAGACATCTTTCCTCTCCCCTGCTTTCTGGCAATCAGTGTTCTCCAAGGATTCCCTTGCTAGTATTCCCCCAATTAGCACCCTCCTAGTAATTCTGTCCCTAGCATTGCCCCAGTGTGCCTTGTTATTTTCGTAGTCTACCCCTAATATTCGCTCAGTATTCCCCTAATGTTCCCCAATAATTTGCTTGGTAGTTCACTAGCATTCTCCTGGTAATCTGTGTCCCCCCAGTAGTCCTCTATCATGCCCTCGGTATTCCCAAACAGTTCCTTTAGTTCTCTCTTGTTATACCCTCTAGTATCTCCTCAGTGTTCCCCTAGTAACTGTTCCCAAGTATTTTTTCAGTACTCCCCTTTTGTTTTTCGAGTATTCACCCTTTGTGCTTTGCTAGTACTCCCTTAATATACCCCTAGCATTCCCCTTATCATTCCCTGGTACTCCCCGAATATTCCACGCATATTGCCTCATAATCTTCCCTGTATTATCCTGGTATTCCACTAACTCCTTTTGTATTTTCTTGGTATACCCCAAATCTTCTCTCAGTGTTCAAGTGTTCCCCAAATTTTCCTTCAATCTTCCCCTTAGCAGCTTCTTGGTAATTCCCTAGCAGACCCCCTGTATTCCCCTCAGCATTCCCCTACTATTCCTCTAGTATTCTCTTGGTGTACCCTCTAGTATTTCCTCAGTGTTTTCCGAGATTCCCTTAACATTCCTCAAGTAGTCTGTATTCTCCCAGCATTTTCACTAGTGTTCCCTTAATATTCCCCTAGCACTCCCCTTACTATTCCTCGAATAGGCCCCTATTCCTTTAGAATTATTTTACCACTAGAGTTGCCCCTAGAATTCTCCAAATATTCCCCTAGTATTGCCCCAGCATTCCCCTTTGTACTTCCCCTGGTATCCTGCATCTGCGCTCCAGTTTCTGAGTAGCAAAAAGAACTAGGGAAACACCGAGGGGATAAGGGAATACCAGGGGAATAACAAGAGGAAATGCTAGGAGAATACTAGGGGAATACTGGGAGAGAATACTACAAATAAACTGAGCAAATACTAAGGAATGCTGGGTTGCTGGGGGAATATTGGGAGAATGCTAGGGGTATTCCAAGAAAATACTAAGGAATACTAGGGCAATATTAGGGGAATACTAGGAGAATACAACTACTAGGGGTAAGATAATGCTAAAGGAATAGAGAATACTAAGGGGAATGCTAGGGGAAAATTAAGGGAATACTAGCGAAGTATTGTGAATATTAGGAACATACTAGGGGAATATTGAGGAATAGTAAAGGAATACTGGGGAGTGCTGAGAGAACACTAGGGGCCAGAGAATATGAGGGGAATATGGCAAGATTTGGGGAATAGTAAAGGAATAATGATGACTCTTCAGGGAATTCTCAGGGAATAGCAAGGGAATGCTATATAATGGAACACTGAGAGAACACGAAAGAAATACTCGGAAAACAATGAGGGGACAATCGGGAAGTGCAAACACCTCGAGAAACCGGACAAAAAAGTACCAAAAAAGAAAAAACAATCCCCCGAACAAAACCTTGGAGGTACTGGTCACTTCCCCCAGGGGATTGTTTGTTAGTTTTCTCGAGGTTTTTGTGTGTTTGTTGGTTGTCTCGAGGTTTGGGTCACGTGTCTTTTTCCAGAGTACATGGGAATGGTGTGCTGGTGCGTGTTGTTCTGAGTTTTTGTTTCTGGTATTTCGCAAGCGCAGGCCCCATGGCGGGCCCTTCTGAAGAAAAAAAAAAAAAAACGGGCCATGTGGCTTCCGTGTCGGGTGCATCGGTCTCGAGGAAGGTCCGTGCTGCTGCAGCTGCTGGGTGCCAGGAAGGCGAAGCCTCTCGAGTCACCGGGGGGCCTGGTGACTGGAGCCGGAGGCCACGAAGAGAGAGGGCCCCTTTTGAAGGACTACCTGGAGTCTCCGTGACCCCTTTAAAGAGAGGTCCATGACCCCTTTATATTGGGGAAGGTGTTCCCATTTTTTTAAGGGTCAGGGAGACTCTAGCTAGTCCTTTAAAAGGGACCCTCTCTCTTTGTGGCTTCCATGTGGACAGGAGGGTGGGTTTTGAAAGCGTCATGTGAGCCATGTGAATGCTGGTATGGCGTCATACGAGCCAATCCTGGTACATACCTGGTATGATTCATGGCATTGGGATGGCGATGTGAGTTGAGTCGGGACTGGCCTCAGTTGCTACGTCCGAGCCCCAGTGGCACACGCGGCAATCCGACGCACGGCAAACGCCAGGCGTTTAATGTCGGCATCACGCTGCTGTTGATCGGCGGATATGCCCAACACCCAGAAATGGATCGATCGCGTCCGAGTTCCGAGTACCAACTGAGTCCCCCAGTAGTGCCCTTTCTCTCCCCGTGTTTGGTTGGGAGGGGAACCCCCCTACTAAAATAGAGCACAGAAAAAAAGTGGGTACCAACTCTATCTTAGGTCCTCTCTACCCCGTACTAAAATACAGAAAAAAGTTGGCACCCGGACCCAGCGCCAAGTAGGGCGATTTTTTCTTCAGACGCCGCTCGAACGCCCAGGCGGTGGTGCAGCAGTCGCGGACCATGGCCTTCCTGCACGCCCGCCGCGCTTGCGAACCCTCGCCGCCACGCCCATTCCCTGCGAGGTTTTCTGGTGTAGGGAACCAAGGGAATCACCCTCAAGAGGAAGAGGGCTGCTTGTAGGGGTGGTAGGGGTGACTGGGATCTGGGACGGATGTAATGTCATAACTATTTGTTTTTAGGGTAGCCAGCAACTCGTCAGAGTGCCCAAGCATTTTGTCCTTCGCCAGGCGCGAAGTGTCCCCCACGCCATGGTGGTGTTGCAGCTCGGTGTCAAGAATCCGGGCGGCGCAAACGGGGCGGTGGGAGGGGGGGGGGTAGGGGGTGGGTGGCTGGGTGGGTGGTGAGCCCAAATGGAGGGGGTCCCGAATTCTCCCTCAGAAAGAAGTACTGCTGGGCCCGGAAGGTATCAGATGCACAGAATTTCTCCGCTGCGGGAGAGACGAGTGGAATCGGGTTTGCCTCGGGTGAGGCATGGTCCTGTGGTTGCGACAGTGCGGACCTCAGAAAGATTGCTTGAGGATGCACCCAGGACGACTTGAACATGATGCGACGCGTTTAAGCCAGCAAATGTCCTCTGACAAATTATAGCAACCTAAGGGAGGTTTAGGGATCCCCTATTTTGGTATCCCTACAGCCGCGCTTCCACTTACCCTCCCCACCAACATCGAAGCTGACTGGAGGCCATTGCCATGTTCCTCTCATAGCGACCCTGTGTCAGCCTCCGCGTTAGTTGAGCCACAATCAAAACCCGGGTAGACGAAGGTTAGTAAGGGACAATCCCAACCATCAATAGCGGCCGCCTTCTTAATTCTTGAAGCATGGTTCTGGGTCGACCATTTTAATACCGGGTTTTGAGCAAGTGACTCAGTTGGAGGGAGGGTAGCGAATCTTTGTCTTCACTTGTCTCCTCCATCGCCTAAGGTTCGGCGCTGTGGTCGGCCTGCTGGCACCCACGGTGCTCTACACCCTTCAGCAACCGCAGTCCTTCGGGCGGGGGGACGCAGGTTGCGAGCCAACGGTTTGGCATGTACAACAGGGTACTCATCTTTTTGAAGGGCTCGTCTTTGGGTTGTTTGGCAAGGAACGTTGGGTTGTTTAACAAGGGAGCGCCAAAGGGAACTCATGTTTCTTTCTCCTTTTTTTTGCGCGGGGGGTTCCCGGTTGGGAGACACCCAGGCATGTTTTCTTGTGGGTAACACGTGTCTGCTTTGCAACAAAAAGTGCCTCCAAGGCTTCCCACATACCGCGGACAGCACTGGCACTCGTAGCGTCAACGAAGTCTGAGATGCCCGAAACACCTGCAACTGCAATCGCTTGAGGGTCTAAACAGAATAGGTGCTGCGTATTTGCGTAAGCCTGAAGTTTCGGACGTGCAGTTTTTGGAAGCATCGGCATGTCTTTGGAGACCTCCCAAATGCTTTTTCCCCTTTGGCCGCCCTTGTAAAACCCAGAAAAGAAAACAAGCCCATTTAGGATGAGCTGATGGTGCACGTCTTGAGGCGATTGCCTATGGAATCGCTGGTGCCGGTGTCCGTGGCAGTGGGCTGTGGTTTAGGTGGGCTGAAGGATGGGCGATGCTCGTCGTGTTCATGTTATGTACTTGTTCTTCATTGTTTGCTTGTTCTGTTTCTTTGCATTGCTTTCATTGCCCCAGGTGTTGTGTTTGTCTGCAGCAAAGGGCCCAATTGAGAGTGGCTGCCATGGGGCTATGGGATCCATGTGTGGATATTGCCTGTACTTCATCAGCGGCCGGACCTAGCTGAAGCAAAACCCACGGCCCCAATGGAGATCCAGATAGCTTTCCAGCGAGCCAGGCTATGTGCCCACACCTTAGCCTGAAGCAGTCGAGTCGCAAAGTTGCAGAGTTGCAGAGTTGCAGGCAGGTCACTTGAGCCATCGAATTCCGTGAAGGTTAAGGCCATGGTTGCAGCCACGGTGCAACTTCCTTACATGTCCCAGTGATTGAATTTACCATTGTAGGCAGCCAAGGGAACCACCCTTTGCAAAGCCAAAGGAAGACTCCTGGTTACCTACTATACTAACTGGGATCCACTAAGTTATATTTTGGCGTAGACCGCTGCAGGTCTTCATTGTCACTCCATCCGAGGTTCTGCCAATCTTTTACGGCGCTATGGCAAGAGAAGCGTGAACACCTGGAGTCTGACTATCGGGTCATTTTCCTTTTCCCCCACATGAGCTCCCAGGCGGCGGGGGAAATGATCTCGAGTCGAACTGTTTGAGAACCAAATGGGGGGGGGGCCTTTTCTTTGGGGGGTACTCTTGTTGGTTGTTGTTTTTCTTTTGTTTAACGGAAGCCAAAGGGAAACCAGCCAGCCCTTTTCACGGGCTCCCCTCCAAATTTGGCGCTCTTGGAAAAGCATGCCCGGGCAATGCTATCATACTGATTTCTGAGCCATATTTGCAGAGGAAGAGAGAGAGAGAGAGAGGGGAGGGAGAGAGAGAGACGTGAGGACGAAGCATGGGAAGGGGATATGGCTGGCTACGAGCACATCCGAGCAACCTTGCATTGGGCTCTTCTGTAAAACAATTCGCCACAACCTGAGGTTGTTTCTAGTTTTCCGTGAAACCAAAAAAAGAACCACCGACTTGGATTTTTGTCTCGCACCCTGGAAAAAGCCGGGAGCAGCCCTGGACGCTCTTGGCGCCCCGTTTCTGCGGCTCAGCACGGCCAGGCGCGACAAAAGGCCTCCATGGCCATGCGCGTGGCGCTGAAGCGGGGCGCCGAGGCCGGGCCGAGCCGGGGAAAGGTCCCCCCCCCCCGGATACTTGGGGACGCTTGGGGATGTCCCTTTGATAAGAATCAGATGCAGCTTTTTGAGTTGGAGAAGGTCTTGGAGTTTAGTTTCAGATTTTAATTCAGGCTTTGGAATTGTGAAACTCTTAGGTTGAGATAGATCCATTGAACTCAGCTGTTGGGATTGAAGCTCGTAGAAATGGATCCATGTCTTAATTCGGCTTCTGGAATTGCTGAAAAAGGTAGAGACGTGTTTGCATTGAGAGGATGGTGTGTGTGTGTGTGTGGGTGCGTGCGTGCGTGCGTGCGTGTGCGTGCGTGTGCGTGCGTGTGCGTGCGTGTGCGTGCGTGTGCGTGCGTGTGCGTGCGTGTGCGTGCGTGTGCGTGCGTGTGCGTGCGTGTGCGTGGGTGTGCGTGGGTGTGCAAGGGTGTACGTGGGTGTGCGTGGGTGTGCGTGGGTGTGCGTGGGTGTGCGCGTGCGCGTGCGCGTGCGCGTGCGCGTGCGCGTGCGCGTGCGCGTGCGCGTGTGCGCGCGCGTGCGCGCGCGCACGTGCGCGCGCGCACACGTGCGCGCGTGCGCG